AAATGCTGAGGGAGAGAAAGTGAGAGAACATTAATTCTCCGTTAACAGTTGAATAAGTGTTAACAGCCAAACTAATATCGTAAATTTTACAAAGGAAAAAAAATAATAGAATTTTAAGAAATTATAAGACAATATAAGCATTAATCTAATGCGATAACGAGCTAGAAATCGCGAAAATTATCCCATTGATAGCGTGAAACCATCAGAAAGTTTAGGAGCTCTACCACATTTGAGATGGTTGGTAAAGCAATCTGCAAATTAAATTGTATCTTGTACCAAAAACAAAAATTGTACATTTTAATGAAATTATAGTAAAATACGTATTTTAATTCAATAACTGCTAAGATACGACCGTTGAAGATGTGCAGACAGGTGGGAGCACGAGAGCGAAAAAGTGTGCAGACCGACTCGTTGAACTAGGTATATTAACCTCATACCACGTTGTAGCACATGGAGTATGATGTTCTAAAGAGAAAGATGCATAATTAACGACCAAAAGGACCAGACCTCATTAAGTAAAGCAGAGAAGCAGGTTTACTGTATATATAACCTCCTATCTTCTTTCTCCTGCAGTAAAGTTTAAAACACTTCAATAGAGGAAAGAATTTTTTTAAACGTTTTCTTCTATATAAAACTATGAAAAGTAAGCTGAAACGTTTTCAAATTATTTTTATTTTTATTTTTTAAACTTTGCAATATAACTTAATATCGAATGCAACAATATTTATCTTCAAAATAAATTATAAATTGCTTGCACACATCGAATTTCAAAGATTACCTTACAACAACGAAACAGGAGACTACACTGCCTATTAGCTTATAATCATCTATAGGCTAAATTGACGTCCGATGATGAATATATTCTGTAATATTAATTATATTTTGCAACAATAAATTAAATTACATAAGGCCTCTTACAATTTATTATTGATAAATTATAAAGGCAAGTTTCATTTCTAGCTTAATTTTCAATGATTATCTTTTATAGCACTTTTTTCCTATGTTTAGACATTAATAGTTATAATTATGTTGATTATTATACATATTTATACTTAAAATACGTGAAAAATGCAGTTAATATAACATTATTCGCAAAATTTTACTTAAAATATGGATAATCTGGAAATATCTTCACATAATAACAGCATTAAAATCTGTTTGCAAGCCAAAATTTTAGATATTTTAAGATTTCTGAGTTCTAAATTCTATAATAAAAATATTTTATTAATAGCAATTTATATTTCTTTAATTTAAGTCTATATAAATGCATATTTAAGTAGTTACTGAACGATTTATTTTAGCATCTACGATTTAGAATCCGCAACTGTATAAGCTTTTGTAATCCTTTAGACCAATTAATAAAATATTCCAATCTAAATGGGCTTAAATGGGAAATATCGTATTCTAAAACACTTATCTGATTGTTGGAATAATCTACCAATTCGATAAACTTTATTTACAGTAGTTGTTTATTCCTGCAACTAACCAATTAGGCATACGTTGTGGTTAAAACAGACAACAATATATGTGACTCTAAATGTCACACGATTAACGCCTATTCTAACCATTACATAGACCATTTCATAAAGGAAACTATTTAAGCGATGTTAGAATGAGTTATATAGGCTAGTTGCCTGTTCTAAATAGTGAATGGAAAGCCAATTCTGAGTGTACAATTGAACTTGCAATTGTAAAGTCACATATTTAGTTGCTTATTCAACAATCCAATTCAGAATAAGCAATTATATATTTCGAAAATAGCATCTTTACTTGCCTAATTATTTTCTATGCAGTTAATTTCTATCAATGTAACTACGAGTAGCCACACTTTTCAGTACGCAACAAATTAAAAAAAAAAAAAAAAAACATGTATTTGTTTATCGTCACTCTTTAAAAGTCCAATTATTCGTATTAAAGTAAATAAATATATTTAAAATCATGTTTTAGTTGCAAATTTTTATAATCAAACAGCCAAATTGCATCGATGGAACGAAATATTTAGTCGCAATTCCATTGTTAACAGGACATATTTATATAAAACATAAATTGATATCACCCTTTTCTCACTTTTAAATATGTCTTACTGTAGTTAAGGATAGTCTTATTTGAGTGTGCAAGAAAATACCAACATTTAGAGTTGCCTGTTGCCTATTAGTTGCCTGTTATGCCTATTAAACAGCACACTTTACAATATATATATATACAACAAATGAGAGACTTTAAAGCAATAAATTTAAAAGTTATTCATTTAATCAACAATTCTAGTGTGTTGTAAATGGCAACTAAACATGCAATATCTAAAAACTGGAATAAAAAATTAATTAATTAATTAAAATTAAATGTTATACTTTTAAAAATCACTTTAATGCTTTGAAACAATATCAAACAGTTAATGAGCACGAACGAAAAGAAAAATTTGATTTATGTTACTTCTAAATAGTACTAAAGTATCTTTAATATTATAAGCTACAAAATTTAAAAATCTCCTATCTTGCCATATAAAAATTTGACAAAAATAATAATAATTTACATTCATTCGATTCAAATTACTACTTAAAGGGATGAATAATAAATTTTTAAAAATAGAATTTTTATCTATTTTGTTGTCTGGGTTAGACAAACAAGTTAAGACCCTATGTTTATGTAATGATGACGCGATTGGAATATTTAGATCTTCAACAAGTTTTTCATGAATAATTCACTTTTACTATTTATTATATACAAAAACTTATAACCTAAATATTATATTCTTAAAGGGAAAATATAAATAATATATTTGAAAATTTAAGTTTAATTTCTATTCTACTACTATTTTCGAATCTGTGATTTTTAAACAAATTATTTAAGTCAGATAATGTAGAAATATTAAATTATAATAATATATAACTACAGTATTTCACAATAAAAACTTCGAGATAAGAACGATAAAATTATACCACAAAATAATAATAATAAATTAAGGATTAGAAAATTAAAACTATTGATACAAAATACATAATTATAAAGCTAGAAACACGAAATAAAAAACTATAAAAAAATTAGGACCTACAAAATGAGAATTACAGAAATTTCTATTGACATATTTGCAATAAAACCAGAGCCGTCGAGAGGGAAAGCTAGGGATTTTTTATTACAATACCGCAGAAAATTCGGGGGTCCGTAGTGATTCCTACTCCTATAAAATTAATGTTAGTAAATGTAACAAAAAGTAAAATTTTTAAGATTGCGTTTTTATTAATAAAGAAACATTTTATGTATTTCATTTGTTCGAAAACAATGGCAAAAGGGGCCCAAAAAAGGATGAAAAGGGGCCCGCACTACCTCTGGGCCCCATATAAGTTTTCAACGGCCTGATTAAATCTATACTATATTACCTATATTATCCTTAATGCGTAGACATCTATATAGATTATTTCATATAGAAACAAAGACTTTTACCTACTTTATCAATCCTTAAAAGATACGCGGGTTATACATGCGATGTTTACATTGTGGTCTTATGCCTGCATATGAACGTCGAACTAAAAAAATCTTACGCTCGAATGCACATAAAAATCTACATAATAATAAGAAATCATAGAAAAGTATTTATCTCAATAAAATATCAGAATATTATAATTAAAGTTCTTAAAATTAGATATTAACAGAATTAATTAAGATCTTATACACGAGAGGCCTATTTAGGAAGCATATAAAATACAAAATAACCTTTCTTTCAGTTATAAAATATAAAATAATAAATGTAAAAACTTTAAAAGAATTTAATTTATTTTTCTTTTTATAATTTAAACTCCTACAAAATTATAAAAGAGAATAAAAAATTTTCATTATACAAATATATCTCATAGCACTATCATTTTGTGTAGTTAAGTAAGTAGAATGTTTCTGCCAAAAATGCCGCATTACAACGACAGGTGTCACCACTTTTAGCAGAGATTAGCAAACCCTCAAAAATATGAATTATTTACATTACATATAAATGAAGAGGAGTGGAACGGTTAAAATGCCTACAAAACCTTGGCAATAAAATTGCATAAAAAAAGTATTATTTTATGTACTAAATCGATAATTTAAGAAGTTATTAATCAACTTAAAACACAATAAAAAAAATTATAAAGAGTTACGATCGAGAAGTATCGATTGACTTTAAAAAAAGAAATAAATAAATAAATAAAGAGTAAACACGGAGGGGTATGTTAATAGTTTAGATAGAAGGAAACAAATGCGAAAGGATAATATTAGCCGTCAATTGAAATACACCAATGTACAGAATCGGTAGATTAATGTACTAACTTAATTAATTACATTATTAATCACATAGACTAATGGTGTGCCTTAATTGAAATCAGTTCAATCGTCGCCCCCCACTTTACCCACTGGTCACTATAGGACCTACATTAACCCTCTATTAACATTGTTTGTGTTAGATGTCTTAACGAGCGCGTATCTACTTCTCGAATAGAAACGGGAAAAAAAGCTCTCTACAAAGCTCATTCGACAACTGTTGAACACTTTTGAGTCACTAAAAAGTTAATAAAATTATCGACAAACTAAATAATTAATTATGATTTTTTTTCTGTATTCGTTTAACGTTTTGTTAATTGTTGCCCAGATCCCGTCATTAAAGGGGATTTGTCTAAAACTATCAGCAGGGAAGAAGAGGAGAAGAGAGAAGTTGAAGGGAAGAAAAAAAAAATATTCCGACCATTCGCTGGCTTAATTAGAATTTTTACAAGTGGATAAAGGACAAGAGAGTCAATTTTTGTTAAAAGTTGCGTTAGTTTTGGTTTAGTTAGGCCGAAACGATTTTTTAAAACGTTACGGACAGAGAAGGAGAAGCTTGCGAGAGATAAACATAGGAAAAATGTCTTACCGTCTTTGGACGCGAGGGGGCAGCACCAGAGGGGCCGATCCAGATTGCCACCGGTGAAAGTAGTTCCGGAGATGGCACCGACGATCTGCGGTTAAAAAATCCACGCGCGCATTGTGCGGAACGAAAAGCAGTGATGCAAGTGGCCTGCCATTGGCTGAGAGGTGCGGGGAGAGAGACAGCCCGATTCTGTCTACCCCCGTCTCTTTCCCCAGCCGGGTTCTGTAACAGGCAGGACGGGGGATCGTAGCCACACAAAGAGGAGTCGGCATAATCGACAGCGTGGTGAGGGGACTGCAGACAGGCTTTGGGCGGCCGTCCACTCTGCTTCGCTAAAGATATACACGGAGGAACTCGTCCGGTCGAACACAGCTTTAAAGTTCTGGCAGTGGCCATGGATGGGAGTAGTGGGGAGGGTACTATCTCACCATCGGGCGATTTGTCATCTCCTCAGTCGCTGCAGACATCACCTAACCCGGACAGCAGCGGGTTGCCCGGTGACTCTGGCCAAATCTTGGCCGGTTCGAGCCCCAAGCCTGTTACTTCTATGGCAGGCTTACAGGGAGCGGGCAGCCAGGTGATCGGGGCAAATCGTTCCTCACCTGTTGGATCTCCGGGATCTGCCGTTCCTGCCGTGTCAGTGGCCAAGTCTTACGCGCCCGGTATCGTTTCGGCGGGTGCCCTATCCGCTTGTGGACCCAAACATCCGTTGGAACCACTCCCCTTGGGTCTGACGGCTCCTCGACCGGGTGGACCGAGTCAAGTGAACAGCTACGGACTTCACGGTGGCCGAATTCACACGGCCTCCCCGCCTGGACTTACTACAGACGCAACGGCCAACGATTGTCGTCTCATTGACTACAGAGGAGCTAAAGTGGCTGCATTCTTAGTCAATGGTGAATATCTGCTGTGTCTACCGCAAGCCTTCGAACTTTTCCTCAAACATCTGGTAGGAGGACTTCACACAGTTTATACAAAACTTAAGAGACTAGACATTACACCCATCGTCTGTAATGTGGAGCAAGTAAGAATTCTGAGGGGTCTAGGTGCCATACAACCGGGTGTCAACCGCTGCAAACTATTGTCTTGCAAGGACTTCGATTCTCTCTACAAAGACTGCACGACTGCCAGGTAAGTTGCCTCGATTTTTATTCGATTTTACGCGTCGTTAACCGTAACCTCGATCTTAACGCGACTAGGCCCGACTTTAAGACTAAATATTCTGCTCCTACTCTCACCGGTGCGGTGTAGTCAGGGGGGAGAACCGTGTTTAGATTTGTTTCACTCGAACACGTTGTCTCGTTGTCAACACACTCGGCTAAAGCACCCCGACGACCGGTTGCGAGCTCTTGATCGATGTCCCGCACGAAGTTGAGTTTCTGCAACCGGCCGCCTTCCTAACTAACTAAAAATTTACTACTTTTGCCACTCCGCCACCCTCCAAACCACAAAATTCTCATCATTTAGACCTACAACTGTCTTCTAAACTAGTTAACCAATTTAACATTTGCAATAGCATAAAGCTACAACCACAAATTAAGCTAAAACATATTGTTTTAGCTAGTAAATACACTCGATATTTAAGTTGGAAAACTTTTTAAGTGGTCCTTTTTCTTCTCAACTTAGAGTAGATTAGTTCTGTTGGGGTATTGTATCAATTTTAAACTGCAGATGGCGCCCTAAGCAGTCCTTTTAACTCCATTTACTTGGCATTCTATATATAACCAGATAACACTTCCTCTCACTAATAATAGCGCATAAAATCATATTAGCATCGTTCCGAAAACAAATGAGAACATAGTCCAATATCTGAAAAAATAAATAAAGCGCGTAGTTACTTACGAAAAAAATTAATTTTTTAACTTCCCTTGATCTCTTACAATCAAATCAAAATATTTTCTATCTTCCCAACAGCGCTAACAGGTTTAAGATATATTTTTAGAATAAAAAGAGATTGTTTAGGCAACATAAAGGTGTTGGCGATAGATATAACGTTTAATTAGAAGTGCAGGAAGGTTTTATGAATTAGAGAAAATAAATTTAGAGGTGTTTTAAAGCGTGGAGTGCCGCTCCGGTAGCTGCGAAACGAGTATAATTTCAATTAAAAGAGCGGAATTCCCAAGATTTCATTAAACTAATACGAATGTTATCTAAATAAGCGAAGTGGCTTTATATAACCAAAGTGGAGGAAATAAAATTATCCCGCAGGAGTCCTTATTAGAAATCCAATCAATCCTCTCCACTCACCATCGACTTTTCTAGTACGAAATTCGTGTAAATTCGTGGAAAAAGCATCAATCAGCGGTTTAGAAAGAGTAGAAAACAAGAGAATCAATGAAGAAGAGAGAACGTTTAAAGGGGGATGCTTCGACAAATCTCAACGTCTGGTCACGCGATAGAAAGCATCTGTCGTTGTAACGCTTAGCTCTATTACATCCCTCTTCTTAATCTTAATCTTAATCCCATTCCGGGCAGAATTTTCTCCCAAATGTTTTTTCAAAGTGGCGAATTAAAAAAGAATATAAAATACCCAAACTGTTCGACCGTTTTGTGGAATTCGCTTTTAATTACCGCTTTTCGACTCGAACGATTGTTTGCTCGAATAGAAAATCTCCGAATGCTGAAAAGATCTTTCAACCAGAAGCTTTTACGTTTCTAAACGCTATTTACTTCGCTAAAGGTTCGTGACGAGGATCGCTAACCGCTAGATATTAAACACGTCATCGTGAGAGCGTGATGAGTGACTGTCCGGCACTTGTGGACAATGGCAAGACCACTTTCACATCCACAATCAATGGTGTGAGAAAATCTAGCGCAGCTCTTTTATTCTATAATATTCAAGAGAATTCTGTTCTTTTCTAGTCAAATTTTACTAAAGTTGCTTTCTTTTAGTCAATTTTTATCTATTTCGTAAAATTGCCATTTTATAAAAGTTTAGTCAGGGGTGCTCTTTTATGTAAACTTTTACTGAAGGTTTGCAATATCCTAGACAGATTTTAAAGAGATTTGTTTCATTTAATGGAATATATTTCGTTCTGTAAAATTTTGGAAGGTTTCTTTCATTCTGTATCAATGTAATGGGTAGAGTCTATTGCGTTAACTTTTTAATGGAATTTGTTCCATTTTAATGAAATCTTAGGCATTCTTTCTCTCTTCAACGATTTAATAGAGTATATTCCGTTCTCTGAAACTTCACAGAGGTTTTGTTTCATTCCGTAAAATTTTAAAAAGTGTTTTGCATGTTGCTATAAACGTTTAAAAGATCTAGTGTATTCTATAAATTTATAATATAGTTTTAAGATTGATGGAGTAAGATTAAAAAATTTGTTTTAGTAGTGTTTGCTTCACTTTATTAATGCTTATCATATTAAAATAGTAAAAAAGAAACTATTTATTTTGGTAGAATTTTTCTCATCCCCGTCTGTAGATAGATAAGTGATATTAGCTACAATTAAGTACTTCAGTACAGAAATCTTACAATGCTTTGTTAAAAATCCTGTCCCGTTTCGATTAAACTATTAAAAACTTTGGAACTCAGAATTAAATAGGGTATTGGAAAGGGGGGTTACTTTTTTATTTTTCTCTCAAGCTAGACATTCCATTAGAAACACAATATTTTATCTGGGTGCGTCATCTGCAAAAACCAACCCGTCTAAACGTGTAATTATGGTCATTATGTATACTGTAATTTCTGTCCATGGATAGTGTCTACGATGGACGGTTGCAGGACCAATTATTAGATGTCGGCCTCTGACGATACACTTCATTGGCCTTTTACCTAAAGGCTTACACCTTTGCCTTATATATTTCTTTTTTCCTCACTTTTCTTTAGAAACATCGTAATTATATCTCTTTCACGCGCATTTTACGTTAGATTTTTTTTTTATTTTTTCAATTTTTAAACCGTTTCACTTTCGTGAAATCGACTTCTATAGGCTATTTCGAGAAGGGGATCTCTTCTTCTGCAGCTAATTAAGTTCATCCAAACGCGTAGAAATTGAATTGTTCTATAAAAGAATGACAAAGAAATGAATTTTTATCATTTAAAATGTAGAAAGAAATATAAAATTCTTAATTGAAAACAGCCATTACTTATGTATCGTTGCGTTGTAGCGTAAAGGACATTGATTTTACTTATTCTACGCCTCTCTTCTGCTATAACTAATGAAGATGTCTCGTTTTAGCTTAGGCCTACGTTAATTAATATCTCAATATATAATTTAGAGTTAAAGGTAATTATTTATGCTCCTTTTAAACACTAAACAAGCAGGAGAATCAACTTAAACTTGCGAACTTAATCTAGTTGAAGTACATTTTTCTAAACAGGATTAAAATTAACAACTTGAAAGAATGCTTATATGATTATACAAATGAGACTTCATGTTAAGGTTACAAAAACGTATAAGTTTGTAGCCTTATTTTCTCAGGCCTAACGTAAATTGCCGCCTAGAAGATTAACCAAACTTGAAGTATTAATGCTAAATAGTAGGAAGATAGCTTTATATTATAGATATAAAAATAACTAACAAATTTTAGCCTGATTTTAGGCTTTAGTTTTTGATAAATAATGAATTTAAGACATTTAATTTTATTTATATATTATAATTAACCGTTAATCAGGCATGAAGGCTTACATTCAGTTTTAAATCTTAAACTAAAGAGAAATTAATATAGAATGACGAAGCGACAAAATAAGGTTTCGTAAGGCTAAATGAAATTTATATGGATCTATACGACTCTTGTAGGCTTCGAAAATCATACAGAAAGTTTATAAATATATAAAATTATCAAGGCCTATTATAGATTAGAACTTAATTTATTAATTATTATTTAATTTTTTAACAAACAACATTAATATAAAAATTTTACGTGTTAATTTTTTATTTATATTCTTACATTTATCCTTCGTAAAACATGCTGTAAATATAAAATTTTTATAAGGATTAACGAGTCGTAATAACATTAGATGAATCGAAATTATGACGTGTTAATAGAGTTGTGGATGTATTGTTTTTTGACAGGCCTAAGGATAACATAAGGAATAACAGGATAAATTTATTGTTCGGTGCTAATGACATGTTGTATGCCGACAAAGCAATGCTTTTCAAAAGATTCGTCTCGATTCTACGAACGTTTAAGTCAATTTTTGAAGGGTTTTCTGGGTGATGTAAACATCTTTATTAGTTTAGAACAATTTTTGACCATAGAACTATAAAGTGACTCATAACACCCCCTAAACATGTGTATCATTAAAGCATTGTATCGCTAAGTACAATATGTTAATTAATAGGTGTTTCTTCTAATCTTGTAAATTAGTTCCTGTTTATAAAAACTCCAAAAATAGGCCTTTAACATTATCTTGTTTAAATAAATAATAATGTCGATAATAACAAATAATTCTATTTTCACAATTTAGTTCATACAAATTCACTTTGAAAATGTTCTTTAATACTCGATTCCTTTCAGTTTTATCATAACGATACTCATTTTCGGATTATGAATTTTAAAGTTTAGACAAGTTCAAAAATAAAACTTATTAGGAAAAAAAAATCTGATGAACTACATCACGTGTAGTCAGTGGGTGGTATAGAGTAAGGTCAAAGTAAAGTGATTTCTTTGTTCCTTTCTGAAAGATGAATAATCATTCATGAGTACAACAAACATGGAGAAACTGTTCTACCCCTCTTCCATTCTTCTTCCCTTTCTGAACACATCGTCGGAATACTAGGGGACTAAGGTTAATAGCCTCGTGCCTACAATATCCCCCTTAGTGTGTATGTGTGCACACACACACACACAGACACACACACATACGCACACACTCACTCACTCTCTCTCTCTCTGTCTCTCTTTCTCTCTCTTTTAATAACCATTCTTTTGTCTCAAGATGGTTTTCATGTCTGGGAAAGATGTGCGAAATTCATCGTGGCGAAAAAGAATTCTTTTGTCAAATAATTAGGAATGAGAGAAAGTAGCGTGGTTTTCTGTTAAATTTACCGAGTCGAAAAAGAGTTGAGTGTGTAATTTATACCATTAAATATTTGAAAAAATCGCCTGAAAGATCTTTTTAGTGATGGAAGAGAATAAGTTGATGGTCATTGTAAATTCTTTATTCCATTCAAACTACTTTT